TGGGCTCGGGGAGATCCATGCTCAGTTCCCAGCTCTGCCAGACTCTGGGTGTTGTCCAGCAAGTCTGTGCCTCAGTTTCCCCCCCTCTTCCCCCCCCCCCCAATCTACTATGTCGGGATAATAATCCTCTACTGGGAGTGTGAGCTCTGTGGGGCAGGGACCGTCTCTCACTAGGGCATGGGGAGAGGGGGGCTGCAGGACCCAGAACCCCAGGGAGCCCTAGCACAGAGAACCAGAAACCAGAGTGGGGAACAAGCTTATAACCGTCACTGGGATGCAGGATGCTTCACTTCCTGTCTTAAGCGGGGGTGTGGCTTGTACACAGCTGCTGCACCCCACCCAGTGCTGCTGCATTTCAGTGCTGGGTGAGGGATCCCTGTACAAACAGCCCCTGCGTCCCACCCCAGAGGCACCTGTAGCTTGGGCTAGGGCCTCTAACCACTGCCATTATAGAAATAAATGCTCAACTTTCCAGAGCTGTTCAACAATCCCCACTGGCCCTCAGAGCCCTCGACTCCACCAGCAATAAAGTTCCTTCCTCAAAGACAGCGGCGTGAACCCCGGCGTTTGGGCTGGATTCAGACAGGCAGTTGCACTGCGATGGCCGCTCTCATGCCGTTTTGGTACGATCCTCCTCCCCCTCCCATCCTGACCTGTTGAGCAGCGCCGCTTTGCTCCACCCCAGAAGCGGCTGCATCTCAGGGGCAGGTGAGATTTAGATCGCGGGGTCCTCAGAGACGAAATACAGAAACAGACCCGAGAAGCCCCTGGTCGGAGATCTCGGGGGGAGGAGAGCAGTACGACCCAGGGCGTTAGAAATACACAGCCCTGGCCGGAGGAGCCAGCCAAACTGAGCTACAACCAGGCTGATTTCAGCGAGCCCTATTAGGGATATTACGGTGGCCCTAGTCAAGACTGGGGCCCCATTGTGCCAGGTGCTGCACACACAGTGAGTCCCTGCCTTGAAGAGCTCACAGTCCAAAGAGACACAGGGTGGGAGGGGAAACTGAGGCGCGGGGCAGGGACATGGCAGAGCCAGGAAAAGAACCCCGGCGTCCTGACTCCCAGCTGCTGCTGCTCCAGACCCGGCATCAAATCAGCGGTGGGAGTCGCCTCTCGGCACCAGGTGCACTTGAAACCGCACTGCCTCCGGCTTGGAGCAGGGGAGCGGGACAAGTGGAGTCCTGGCTTTCACCCCGTGGGCCCTGCCCACTCCCCTCGCACGAGGCGAGCACCGGGGGCTGCTCCCCCCACCCTGGGACAGCACGCCCAGAAATCCCCAGCGTCCATGGGAGCTCTGGGGCAGAGGGGCTGGGGGCAAGCCGTCGACTGAGGCTGGTCCTCCATCTTCCCCATACACAACCGCTCCCCGGATCTCCGGCCCACACCCTGCTTCCCATCTCCACATGCTCGGTGCCCCCTCGGAAATCGGCCACCTTTCCCCTCCCAGCCCCGAGGGGGAGCCGCTCACCCCTTTGCACCTCCAAGAGCGCCCGGCCCCACCCCAACCTGGGCCTGCGTTTATCACCCGGGGACAAGGTCCCAAGGGGCCTGGCGGCTGCGCCAGCCCCACCCCGAGAGCGGATGTGTTTCTAAGCCGGCTGCTCTAGGAACCGGCGGGCGCTGAGCCATGAAGGAGGTCAGGCACCTGGGCTGGCCTGGGAACCTGCGCTCCCCGGGGCATCGCCCGCCTGCTCGGGAGGCAAAGGGCCAGGAGCTCGAGGCACCTGATTTCGAACTCCAGAGCCTCCCCAGCGTCCAGACGCTGGGACGAAGGGGCACAGGGACTGCCCGCCTGGATCAGGGCAGAGACCCAGCTGTCCACCTCCCTATGCTTCCAGGCACAGTGAACCCACCCCGCAGCAGCCCCCGAGGGATAACCTGCCCCCTGCCTGAGGTCTCCCCAAGGGCGTCCACACTGCAGCGCAAGCCTGGGTTTACAACGGCTGCACCTGGGTGTCACAGCCACGCTGACGCCTCCGCGCTGCGCCCATCTTCTGACTCAGGTCTGCACCTTGCCCTGCATCCACACTGTGAAACGACAGGGCTTGGACTGGAGTCACAGCAGGGCTTGGGCTGAGACACACACACCCCCCAGCAGGGTCCCAGGACCGGCCCAACGCTGAGAGTCAGAGCCCAGGCTCAGACTGTAGTGTAGACAATACTCTTCTCGTCAGAGCTTGGCTTCGGCTCTGAAGAAAGAAGTCGTCCATCCCTTCCTAGATGGCTGCTAGCAGGAACTGCAGCTATCGTTGTTACCCCTGTAAAACATCCAATCCCTCTGACCCTTGCTCAGTTCTCAGCCCCGCTGCCATCCAGTGGCCGTGGGTTCCACAGGCTAACCCAACGGTCAGACAGTCTTTCCTTCCAGCAGTTTGGAAAAAGATGCCTTTTCATTTCACCAATGTCCCCTTGATATTCATAGAATATCAGGGTTGCAAGGGACCTCAGGAGGTCATCTAGTCCAACCCCCTGCTCAACGCAGGACCAATCCCCAGGCAGATTTTTGCCCCAGATCCCTAAATGGCCCCCTCAAGGATTGAACTCAACGCTGGGTTTAGCAGGCCAATGCTCAAACCACTGAGCTATCCCTCCCCCCGCCCAATCTCGTGCTGCAAGTCCCCGCAGCCAAACGCTCTTTAGCTCAAGACATCTGCTAGCGTCTCTTTCCTTCCCTCTGGGAGCTTTTACACCAAGAACACATGAGGTTAAGCCACCCCACTGGCCCCAGCAGTAACCCTGCAGAACGAGGGCACAGCAGTGTCTTAGAGAAAGGCAGGATGGCTCTGGCCCCAGCTTTGCAAATTCAGCTAGTGGAGAAGGTGCTGGGTCTGGCACCCACCTGGATATTTCACATCAGCAAACCTGCCTTGAATGTAGGGATGGGCAGGTCAGGAGAGCTGGCAATGAAGGGCACGTGAGCCCTGCAGGTCCAGCCGCGGCCAGGTAGCTGGCGCCACATGGCTCTGTATTAGCGATGGGGCCCACCTGAGTGCTACGTGTCCCTGAGCAGATCAGGGCTGGATCACAGCCCAGAGACATGGCAAGGTCCGGTGCACACAAAATCACAACCGGGGGTTGGAAACGGGTCCTCTGCCACGGTGGCTGTATCGGCCTGTGTTTCTACCGTGTACGAACAACAGACCCCCAGTTCAGGGACCCTCAGCAGCACGTCTCAGAGCGCTTCACGAACAAGGTCAGAACGATTATCCCCCGTTTTACATATAGGGAAACTGAGGCACAGAGCCAGGCCCTGACTTGCCCATTGTCACCCAGCAGGCCAACGGCAGAGCTGGGAACAGAACCCAGGACTCCTGCGTCCGCCCCCAGCCACGAGGTCACACTACAACCACCCCATTCAGCACCTTCCCCACCGCATTCCCACGTGTACGACGCCTACCAAATAAAATCGGCCTTTCCATTAGTAGCTCAGGGACGCCAGACACACAATCGGGCCCGAATACAAAGCAGCGTCGGGAGCGGCACCTGGAGCCGGCTCCCTGCACGCAGCTGCACGCACAGGCTCACAAGGCCTTAATTCCCAGGTCCGCCTGGGCCTTTCCCCAACAGAGGATTGCTGGCGTGAAATAGCCAAGCGGGTGCCAGACCCGACGCCTTCCCGGGAGCTGCATTTGCAAAGCTGGGTGCTGGAGATGCTGCTGGGTCCTCATTCCGTGGAGATACTTCTGGGGACAACCGCCGTGGGGGCGAAAGCTTGCAGGCTCGTGGCACGCAACCCCCCAGCGAGAGACGTCGGAGCAAGACAGAGAGCCTTATGTCCATGGGTTTCTCACTGCAGGAACCCCAGAGGGCATCCCCTTGTACAACAATGGGACTCTGTTGAGCATTTTCAGACCCTCCAAGACCCAGTGAGGAGCAAATTTCAAATCCATCCCCAGGAAAATCCCACAGGAGCGTCTGAGTCTCAATACACACAAGCAAAGCTGTGCTGCGGGTGCGCTTGTCCGTACCAGACCTTCCCTCGGCCAGTTTTGAGAGTTTATTCCCAGGCAATTCCCCTGGGGCAAGGGGAACTCATTGGTTTTATTTTCCCCACTGGGGTGAAGGGGATCGTAGTTTTCACCAGGGTCGGGGAGAAGAACCAGATTTCACACAACACCGACCCCAACTGGAACCACGTTTAGAAGAGACAAACAGACTCTTGTTGCCTAAATGAGAAGGGGACGGGAAGCCCTAGAAGTTGGCGGAGGAGTTGCTAGCGCAGGCACAGATACCCCCCCCAGTTTCTCCTGTAGGGCCTGGAACAGCCCTTGGGGGCGGGATAGAGTCGAATGGGGAGAGAGCTCACAGGCAAAGCGGCCAGGTCCAGGAGGCGCCACACTAGAGACAGGGAGTGGCCGGTCCACAGCAGGGAGGTGAGACCAGGACATGGGGCTTCGCCCACAGACCTGGCCGGTGCTGATCTGAAGGGGCTAGGGCCGGGGACGCTGCAAGCCGGACGGGACCCAGCCCTGGGGAACGGGACCCAGAGAGCAATGCTGGCTGGGTGAGAGGACTGGATCCCAGGACGTGGGCCCGTCCCATCTCAGCAGCTGAGACTCAGCCCAGTTCTTAGGGCAGCAATTGTCCGTGTCACAAACCCCAGCCGTGCTCAGCCGCCGGAGTCCCAACTGATTGGGGTCCCTGTTGTACCAGGCGCTGCGCAGTCACTCACAAATTAATCCTTGATCACAATTAGGGGCCTGTTCTGGGTGCTGCACAGACACCCCTGACGTGGGGGTCCCTGTCGTTCTGGGTGCCACATGGAGTCCCCTGTCCATGACTGGGGGGCCCCCTGTCATGCCAAATGTCACACAGGTGCACCCCCCAACCATGATCCGAGCCCCCTCATGCCAGGCACCACACAGATCCTCCCCCCTCCAGCTAGCATGGGCTGCACAGACACAGAACGACAGCTAAATAGAGACCACAGAGGAAGGATCAGCCCCTGTTTTAGATCTGGGGAAACTGAGGCCCAGAGAGACGCAGCGACTTGCCCAAGGAGTCCGTGGCAGAGCCAGGCAGGGGAACTCCGGCCCCAATCCCTCTCTCGGGCAGAAGGACTGAGGGGTTCCCTGCCGATGCCCTCGCAGCGAGAATCATCCTATGCAGCAGCTTTGGCCAGCCCCAACTGCCCTCTGCCCCAGCCCCCACCCTGCCCCGCTCCCAAGCCCCCAGCGGGCGACACTCACCCACTTGCAGCACCCGGTCGACGGCCCCAGATTGCAGCAGATGCAGGCCGCGGTTGAAGGGCACCCGGGAATCTCGCTCGCCTTCGGGGGGGTGGCAGCCGAGGGACGAGTACATGCAGATCTCGCGCTCGCTGCGCGGGAAGGACCAGAACACGATGCGCTTCTGCACAGGCTCCGGGACGCGGGAGAATCGCTCCTCTACCTGCAGCGCACGGGGGCAGGGGAGGAAGGGACACGGCATCAGGCACCCACCTGGTCTCAGCCAGCGACTCGAGCTCTTCCTCCCCTAGGCGGACAAAGGCCAGCGGAAACTTATAGGCCAAAAATCTTCCAAGTGCACCAGAGTAGCAGGGATGCTCCAGTCACCGGCCTGGCCCAGCCGCTGGCTAGGATGAGCCCGCACCTGGGAGCCAAGGCTGATGAGATGCCCCCTTGGGGAGCCAGTTTGGTCGAGCAGGGAGGCAGCTCGGCTGCTGTTCCCTAGACACCCTCCTGAGCGAGGTGCACATGGGGCGTCTCTGAAGCGTTCTCCCCTGAGCATGATGGGAGGGAAGTGGGGTCCAGTGGCTAGAGCAGGGGACGACTCTTAGATCCTGTGCAATGCTCCCATCACAACAAGCCCGACCCAGTGGCCGTTGGCTAAAACGGCCACCGTGGTTCTGCTGGCTTGAAAGACTCAACGGGGAACGGAGACAAGGTGTGTGGGGAGCAAGACCACAACAACAACCCAGGCCCTGGAGAGACACCAGGCCAGGGAATAAAACAGCACCTCAGCAATGAGCCATCCGTTTCCTCTCGGTGAGATTGTCCAATCTGACCAGCGTTCTCGTAGCCGGGCTGACGCCACCGCCCCAGGATGAAGGGTCCTCCCTGCCCCACACATCGCAACAGACACACAAGGGAAGGATCGTGGCCCCCCCACTTCACAGAGGAGGAAAACAGAACCGCAGAGAGGGGCAGCAACTTATCTGAGGCCACACAGGGGGAGGCTGGGTCCAGCATGCCACTCACACAGCCCCTAGACTCAACCCCCCCGTCCCCCTGTGATCAATGAGCTCGTTTCTCACGGTGGGTCCAATCCTACAAATTTTTGTACACAATCTCGTTGGCCTTAAACAGGCACAGCTCCTGGGAGCTCCCCCCCCAGCGAGGGCTGCAGGATCAGGGGTCCTTGCGACCAGCCCTTGATCCGTGAATTGGAAGGCAGCATTACTCAATTACATTCAAGCCCCATAGTGTGTTATTTTCAAGGACCGCCTGCGGTCTATTTCCCCCCCACCAGGGAAATGTCAGGGGGTCAGAAATTAGTTACAGACGAGGTTCTAAAAGGACAGATTTAGGTCTCCATGACGCAGGGGCTCAGAGCAAAGAGAAAAAAAAAGCCACTGTCAGTTTCACCACAGAAAACAACCGGCTGCCCTCGTTTGCATGTTTTCCTCTGTCAACCCCCTCAAAGCGGAGCAATCGGTGACTGGGGGGAGGGGGTAGCGGGGGGCTGGATTCAGCTGAGCGGCCCCCGCAAACAAGGAGCCAGCCAGTGCTAAGAAGCAGAGACTTGAACAAGAAAGTGCTTGCACCTTAAAAATAAACCGCGTTACGGAACTGGGGAGCAGCCCGGCCATCACACAGACAGACAGAGCCCCGATAGAGTCCTTAGACACCAGCACGGATACGCGAGGTGTGAAATATACCCTGGGGTGGGGGGTGTCTATTTTATGTGAGGGCCGCGCAATCTTTACTGTATTTATCCTCCCCCTCCCCCGCGAGACAGGGCAGAACTAGCACCCCCAGGGGACAGAGGGGAAACTGAGGCACGGAGCAGCGCTGGAACTTGTTCCCAGCAAGGGGCGTCTGTAGCAGAGCAAGCGATGGACCCCAGCTCTTGGCTCGTGCACTCACCACTTTCCTCTCCCTCAGCACAGAGACCCCAAGCTGGGCAGGCCCCTAGGGTCCGGGGCTAGGAGGAACGGGGCAAGAGGTGCATTTAGGATCTCGCAGTCAGGTGTGGACCCTCAGAGTCAAAAAAATGACTCGGGCACCGTCTGCCACTAGAGGATTGCGCCTTTCCGGGGACGTTCTCTGCCACCAGGATCTCTCTCTACCTCTGCCACCAGCCCCTCACCACCCTCAGCCAGCAACGGGGAAGGGCACCACATGGCACCTAGGACAAGAACAGATGATCTAAGGGTTGGAGGGACCAAGTCTCTGCAGGGCAAAAATCTCACCCACTTGTGGGTCTTTCCACCAGACCCTCAGCACCGCCCCTCTCCAGCAGAAGGGTAAAACTAGGCAGCACCAAGAACACAGCTGAGGTCTGAACAGCCTTTATTTTTAGCAGGTCCTGTCAGGCCCCTGCTAAATGCGTCTCTGGGGCTGATCCTTGGATGAAAGGAAGCTGCCCTTTTTTAAAGCCACCTCTCTCACCTGTTCCAGAGCACGAAGTCTCAGCATGTCCTGGTGGCGGGGGCTAGCGGGGAAGGGTTCATTCATCTCGGGGAGGGGTGTCATGACAGGAGACTCCCGTCTGACAGGCTTCCCAGCCTGACTCGAAACCAAATCCCTTCCCTGGGAGAGGATCATCCCAGCAGCCTGGATTCTCGGGGGCCGGGGGGGGGGGGTGTTAAACACTGGTTTGGAGGGTGGGGGGAGTCAGGCCCACGTTCAGACAAGCAGGGAGATGGGGAGACACACCCCAAGTCCGCTCCCCAGCCGTTTGCCAAGGCTCCCTCCGGGGGTCACGTCTCCAGGGTTTTGCCCGGACTAGTTTAGAAGTCCCAAGCAACGGGGCGGGCGCCCGTCTGTTCCCAGCTCTCGCTCTCAGCGCATATTTCCCTGGTACCCAGCTCGAACGCAGGAATCTAGGGCGGACAGGGGCCTCCTGGGTCATTGCCTCCAGTCCCAGAGGCGCCCCCTGAAATTCCCCTTTGGCTATTGGGGAGGATGGCAGCTGAGCAAACAGCCCCCTCCCCACCAGTGCTCCCCTCTGGGGCAGCCAAGCTGGGGAAGCCGGAGGAGGGGCTGAGCCGGGATTGCCCGTCACCCCAAAAGGAGGTCAAAGAGCCACCCAGCAATTTAAAGAGGGCTGGTCTGGCCTGGGTGTGAGTAACCACTTCCTCTGACCCCAACCAGTATCGCCCTGCCCGCAGGCAGGCACCCACCACAGGGCAGGGGAGGAGGAGTGGGTGGCAAGAGGCCGCTCAGCCGGTGGGGTGCGGGGGTTGATCCTGGCGCAGAAGCCGTGGGGGGGGGGTGAGAAGGACAGTAGGGGGGTTGCCCTAGTGACTGACACCTGCTGTAGGAGCATCCCACGGCGAGGACCGGGGGCTGGGGAAGAGGATCAGGTGGGGCCACCCCAAGGGAAGAGATTGGGGGAAATGCCCCAGTGGGGTTATTGGGGCAGCCCTCAGAACCCAGGGGGTGACAGGAGATGGGGGGGGGAGACAAGGGATAGAAAAAGGGGTGGACACTAGGGTACCCCCAGGAGAGCTGACGGGGGACACTGGGGACGGGAAGATGGGATACCCCCGGGGCTCCCCGAGGAGGGCGGACACGGAGGGAGGGGGACACCCCCAGGAGGGCGGACGACGGGGGGAGGGGAGGGGGACGACCCCCGGGGACACGTGGCGGGCCGGGGATCCCCGCCGGGCCCGGCCCCCCTCACCTGCTCGAAGGCCCACGTCTCCGCCACCCGCTTGGCGCTGAGGTCCAGCAGCGTCTCGGCCCGGCCGCCTCCTCCGCCCTCCGCGGCGGCCCCGGGGCCGGGCCCCTCGGGCCCCCGCCCGCCGCCGGGGGGGGCCGCAGCGCCGCTTGGCGGCCGGGTGCTCCATGGGCTCGGGCGGCCTCGGGCTCCCCGCGGCCCAGCGCTCGGGCTCGATCCCCGGGCTCGCCCGGGCGCCTCCCCGGGCCCCGCCCGCCGGGTCCGGAGCTCGGCGGCTCCCGCGCTCGGCGGCTCCCTCGGGCCCGGGCCGCTCTCGCCGCGCGGATCCCCCGCCGCGTCCCCCGGCCCCGCGATGCGGCCCCTTTAAGAAGCTCCACAACAATGAGCTCGACGGCTGCTTGATCCCCGGCTTCCCCTCCCCCTGCCGGGCCCCCATTGGCCGCCGGGAGGCAGCCCCCGCTTGCCAATGGCTGTCCCCGCTGTCAATCAGCGGATGGGCCCCCTCCCCCACGTGGGAAGTCTGGGGAGAGCCGTCAATCAGGGCGGGAGGCCCACCAATCAGGGAGCGCGGGACCGGGAGGTGGTGCCCATATATGGGGAAGGTGGGCGTGGCCGCCGAGCCTTCATTCACAACATTCGAAAGAGGCTGGAAATGGCAACAATGTAGCAACCGGGAGGTTGCGGTGGGTTCCGGCCCAGGACTCAGGAGGCAGGCTCCGCCCCCTCCCCGCCCAGCTCCTCCCCCTTCATCTATCAGTCCCTTCCAGGGACCCCCCCAGGCTAGCTCCTCCCCACCCCGTCTCCCAGACTAGTGACCCCCCAGTTCCTTCTCCCCACCCCCCGCGTCTCCCAGCCCAGGGACCCCCCAGTTCTCCCCTCCCCCGCGTCTCCCAGCCCAGGGACCCTCCCCCAGTTCTTCCCCCCCGCGTCTCCCAGC